AAATATTTTGTGTTTTCTTGTGCAAAATTTAAAAATGTGCAAGAAACATATATGTATATATACATATATATATGTATATAGTGAAGCACATTATCTAAACTATATTGGCAGATGAATCAGGAATACCTGCCACTCGTCTTGTCTTCTAGATTGTGAACTTTCTAGAATACAATTACAAATTGATATTCCATTCTCGAAGAACTTATCATCTGGTATACAGTGACTCAGTGTAAAGTCTTTTTTCCCCCAAAATGGGTGAGGTACACACACTTAGTGACAAAATTATGCTTTGGAAATTTTCTGAAAAATTACATAAGCTCCAGGGAAGTTGATGTAAAGATAGCTAAAGATTTTTCCAAAGAGTGATCTTGGTATGATGATAATAGCAATTGTACCAAGACATATTTTTTGTCACTACATTCTAAGAATATGTAAAATTTTATATGTCTTGATTAAAATAGCAATTTTGTGAAGCCCATTAATAAATGTCATCCACTTTGGGTGAGTCAACAAATGGACAATTCTTTAGGCTATGATTATGAGACAAGTAATCCATGGGCATTCAGTGAAAACTGCACAGAGCTCTCCCTCTGTTGCTGATTAGCAGCAAAAGGACAACATAGAAATATATATCTTGTCATCATGTGAAGAGTTGGCCCATGTTTCCTTGCATGTTATCCTGAAAGTAACAAATGAAAGAAAACAGCAATTAACTTCTAAACTCCAGCTTGATAGGGGTCAACTGATGGATGATCCATCTTGTGGTTGAGTAAGGAGCCAAAAAGATGTAACAGAGAAAAATATGAAATTGTAAGAACAACTTGGCCACTTTCTTAATCTAGGGAAATAAAATCAATCTGACCTAAATTAACTCCATCTCTAACATTTTACTATGATTTGAGGTATCCACTGAAATTAACCGGTAAACGGCATGATTCTTAACTGTTTTTGGAAAGTTACAATGTGATCATGACTCAGGGACAAAGTGACCCAGAAAATGGATGTTGCAGCAGCCCAGGGTCTGAGAGTCAATACATACTGAAACAGGACAGAGAAAAAACTCCAAGGGGAACTTTCTTCTAAGATTGCAAATGTGGCCTTTCTCTTTCCAAGATAGCCTCATACTCAGAAAAATCTGAGCATGTAGGGGAATATGCCATTTCCTATTACTCTTTCTGGTATACTTCAGGGACTTCAGGGACCAAACATGAGTGATATTTACAAAAGTTGTTGAAAGATACCAAAAAACAAAACAAACAAACAAAAAAATCCCTTTTGATTATTAAGTAACAGTAAGCAATACCTTGTGTGTTTGATTCTTCCCTCTGGTGTAGGAAATTACTAGCTCTGTTCCCTCCTAGGTAGAGAGAGGAGATAAAGTCTAAACTCTAAACCTAATTAGAAAGAAAAAAAATAACTCTGCATTAATAAGTAACCTGACATCTTCCATATGGTCAGAGAATTTTTAAGTTTGAAGGAGCTTTAAGCAAAGCTTCCTCATTTCATTGAGCAGTTCAATTTAGTTCAACAAATATATCCTATGGCCTGGCACTGTGGAGCTTTTGGATATTTAGAGATAAATAAGCTTGGCCAGGTAGTGACAGTGTGGTAAGAGATGTGTCGGATGTATGTATCAGCCAGAGTTTTTAGCTTCAAGCAACAGAATACGACTTTGGCTGTTCTAAATGGAAAAGAAACATGCCAAACTCCAGTCCCGGAATTGCTGGGAGGCTGAAGAATCAGGCACACGGCTGATGAAGGCAGAGCAGCACTGAATAGGTTCGTGGTTTCTGCTGAGGCCTAGAGACTCCATTTGCATGAGCAAACGCTGGAGTCCCGGGCCCTGCGCTCCACGGCTGCCTGTCACACCCAGAGCAATGTATCGTTTGCACAGTTGCCTGTGCACATCCCCAGAGTGGATTCTCTTCTGCCCCTGCTTCTTTGTGTTGCCAGTTCCTAATTCCAGGTCCAGATAGCTATGACTGACTAGCCATTCTAAGTGTTTTTCTTCTCCCATATCTACAAAGGTGGCCGGGACAGTGAGTCACTGGAATTTTAGCTCCTATATAGGGTGTGACCAATGAAGTGTGTAGATGGCATGAAGGAGCAGATTTTAAACTTACAGTTGAGCTCATCACAGTTCCTTTTAGCTTATGTATTCCTTTGAATGAGTCTTTTTTTATTCTTAGTCTTTGAGTTTTTCCTCCCTCTCATCCGGTTGCTCACCAAGATGATACCTGTGTGTATGGCAGGGGGATAGAAATAAAATGACCACGTAGGGAAAAGACAGAGGGCTGAAGGCCACACAGTGCCTTCTATATTGTGGCTGGTCACCTGCTGTGAGGAATGCAGTTTGATTCTGGCATTTGAACAGCAGGCCTTATTGCAACACCACACAAGCTTGGCATCCAAGGATGGGTGAGTTCCACTCACCTCTGCCTTTCTTCTTCCACCCACTGGGGCAGAGGGGCTGGCTTTCCATACCCTTTTTCTGTCTGTCAGGAAATAACATATGTCTATATCCTACTCTTTTTCCCAGGTACAATAAATTTCATGGCTGTAAGTGATCATGATTATGACTCCAGTAGAGAAGTAAAAACACCTTGGATTAGAATGAACAAAACATCAACCCACACAGATGTCTGCATAAATCAGTACAAGAAACAAGGAAGGGGGCGGGGAAAGGGTAAAGAGGTCAGAAGAGACTTTTTTAAGGAAGTGATGCTTCTTAAGGAAGTGAGCTGTGTGTTGAGGTTGAACTACAGGCCCAACTTAAAGTAGGTGATGAAGTTCACACAGGCAGGCTAAGGGGCTAATGGTCCTTATGACACAATTGGAGAAGGGGTGGGGAGACTTTCCAGACAGCAGTCACCTCCACCAGCCAGGCTTTGTGTCTGATGGTCCACAGAAATCTCATCGTGTGAGTCAGCAGGAACCAGAAGATTCACTTCCTCCACAGCAGCTAACAGCTAGAAGACACAGCAGAGCGTGTGAAGTAGCAGGAGAATCCTATAGAAGCCGAGGTGTGAGGAACTAGCAACTGCTGAGACAATTCCCTTCCCTGGGTGGGGGAGATCAATGAGTAAGAACTATTTAAAAAGTCCAAAGGAAAGAGTTGAGTCTTCAGAGCCAGGAGATTAGACTACAGAGGAAGGGGCCCAGACATGCTGGAGCTGATCAAAAATCCTAGATGGAGACAGGACTAGGTCTCCCAGAAGTAGTCATGGGGCTGAGGACTCAAAGGAGGAGAGTCCTTGGGAAGCTGTTAGAAAGCCAGTGCACAGCAGTGGGTGGAGCTGGTGAGACAATGAGTGCTGACCCATCGGAGCTTTCACTTCACATACTGTCAGGAGTTGGATTGCTAGATTTAAAAACCTTGCCTTTCTGCAAATAAAGGTTGTGGAAGCTACACCAGAATAAACCACAGGGGGATTCTGGTAACAGTACTCATCTCTGGTATTTAGAGAGTTCTTTAAATGTAAATGTTTTCTGGGAGAGAGACAGTGTTAGGTATTAGCCTCCAGCTTAGAGTTAATATCTAATTTTTTTCATACATTGCTTGTTTATCAGAAACATCTACATGGACATTATCAAGTTAGTGACATGGGAATAAAATAAGGACTTGCCTTCAAATAGGAAGGTAAGACTGCATGTGTACACACACCCACATAAAACAATGAAACAAAGTTTAAAATGTGTTATGAGAGGACCAGATACAACATTACGGAATTGATTCGGAGGGAGTGAATAATTCAGATTAAGGCAGAACAGGGAGGGCTTTTTGGAAGAGAGTGTTTTTTTTTGTTTTTTTTTTTTTACTGAGCATTGAAAGAAAGGAAAGATCTGAACACTTAAAGATGAGCAAAGAGGATTTCTAGGGAGGGGAAACTACATGAAGAACAAAACCCGTAGTGTTTGGGGATTGGAGAGTCATTTGTTTTGGAAGGAATATAAATAACATAAAGGCAAGGTAGGTCCTAGTTGAGAATTGAGAGACCTGTGATGAAGAGAAACAGAACAGCTTGGTTTGACTCAAGGGGAAATTCAAGGTGGCATTGGGTGGATTAGGGGGCTTGGGCAGCACAGAGCCTCGGGATGCAGGAGGAACATAGACCTGCAGGAGAGAAAGTGCAGAAAAGGGAAAGGAAACTTCTCCTTTGTACCATTCTGCCATCTGCTTACCTTAGGTGAATCCTCCTATTATGTTTCTGAGCCCAGACCAAGCCAAGGCTTGTTTTATTCACTTTCTGGGCCGTATCTAACAAGAAATAACAGGCTAGAGGGAGATGCTGTATGAACAAATGGAGAAACACCTTTCTTAGCTTTTGCTGTCGTTTTTTTATATTCTCTGCTGCTGATATTGCAAAGGCGTGAAACAATTATTGTGTCTTTCATTTTACTAAGTTTTAATTTTTTTTCCTATTTTCTTGCCAATTTTCTCTTTCTTGAATTTTGAACAATTGGACATAATGATGAAATATACAGAACGAAAACATGAAACTCAGAAATGGAAAGAAAAATGGAAGAAAATATCAAGAAAGGTTCATACTTGCTTACATTTTAAAAGGCACATTTTCAGTATATTTTTAAAAATCCAGAGCACTTTAAAAGAGGAAGGATAAAAATGTCTCCATTATATTTACAGCATCTCTGAGTGACAATCACAGTGCTGATGTAGGGGAAACTAGAAACAGTCAGGCCTCACCTGGAAAGTCTTTATTCACCTGTTCCTGAAGGCAGTGAGGCACCCTCACCTCTGAATCACCGAAAGAGAATCTGGTGGGGCAGGTTCTAAGGCTGCCTGAAGATTCGTTTGCATAAAGATTTTTTAGTTCTTGCCAACAATGAGGGAGCCTTCTTATTCCTTGGCAAACATCACACCACTTTCATTTCCTTTCATAGAAATAGGATCATATTTACAGACTGTTCTTAGATATTGCCACCTGATTTTTTTTTTTTTTTCCTTATTGCTTTTTCATCTGTTTCCCCTTTCTTCCTAGGGTGAAACTTTCAGCCATCGCCCTCTTCTGGTTTCAGGTAAAGAATCTGAATTGTGGGAATTGTAGTTCTCTTGCCTTTCAAGTCTCTGGTTGGGCAGCCTTGGAGCCACACTGGTGGAACTTCAAGTCCCATGTGGCTCGGTAAGCAGGAGTGCAGGTGCCTGCCTGCACATAGAGCAAGGCACGTTTGAAGAGTACCTGGTTTTGATAGAGTGACTTCCATTCACTAAAACCATGTGCCTACACTGAAGAAGCTGGAACTCCACTTCCACAAATGTAAGTGCTACTTTTTAAAAAATAATATTCTTTTCAGTATTGGTATGTGCTACACACTAGGAAGTTATATAATTTCCAGAATAATTGAACAAACTAACTGCTTCTTCCTTCCCAAGCCCTGTTTGAAAAAAGGGAAGATAACCCATGCTCTGTGGGCTTGTGGGACGTGTGTTAGAATAAACCTTGAGGCAAAGAATAGAATAATACCTTTGAAACATGGTTTAGAATAAAGCAGTTTATCTTAACCAAAAAAAAAAAAAGGAGGAGGCCAGATGTGGTGGCTTGCACCTGTATCCAAGCACTTTGGGAGGCGGAGGAGGGAGGATAGCTTGAGGCCAGGAGTTTGAGACCAGCCTGAGCAAGAGTGAGACCCTATCTCTAAAAAATATAGGGAAAAAAAATTGGTGCTGGGTGTGGTGGTGTGTGCCTATAGTTTCAGCTATTCAAGAGGCTAAGGAGGATCATTTGAACCCAGGAGTTGGAGGCTGCAGTGATCTATGATCACAGTACTACGTTCTAGCCTGGGCAACAGAGCAAGACTCTGTCTCTAAAAATTTTTTTTTTTTTTTTTAAAGAGGAAGAATACATGCAACATGAAAACTCAAATACAATAATTACACCCCACTCTGAGTTGCTTCAAATATGTAGGAGGTTGAAATTAGTTGAAAATTTTAAATATTTTAAAAGACATCCAGGTGTGTTGTAAAGACTGTGAGTTTTGAAGTCAGATAAAGTTGGATTCAGTGGCCCCTCTGCTTATTAGGTTTGTGACCTTTGAAAAGATGCTTTGCCTCAAAAAGCCTCAGTTTTCTCATCTATAAAGTAAGTATAACCTGCCTCATTTTATTAATAAAATTAAGTTAGCATAGTGTATTGTACTGAATAGGTGGTTAGACCATAACTGATGGAGGATAACTTGGCATTGTCCTAATTAAGTTTCATTAAGCTTCAAAAACAGATCAAAGAGACAAAAAGACAATTACTGTATGATTTTACTCAAACGAGGTATCTGCAGTAGTTAAATTCACAGAAACAAAGTAGAATGATAGTTAACAGGGGTTTGGGGAGGGGGAAATGGGAGTTGTTTAACGAGTATAGAATTTCAGTTTTACAAGATGAAAAGTTTCTGGAGATTGTACAACAATATAAATATACTATATTAAAATTTACACTTACAAATGATTAAGATGGTAAATTTTATGTTATATGTTTTTTACCACAATGAAAACAAAAATCAAAGAATATGTACTGAAAATTATGGTACCTCCCTTTTATTGAGGTCTTCCCGATCCCTTAACATACGTCTTAATAAATGATGAGTGTGCAGAGTTTTTTTATGTGATATGTCATATAAATATAAACTCTTTTAGGAGCTATGTCAGCAAAGTCCAGAATAGCGTTAGAATGAAAACAAAGGTGGAGGAGGGTAGCTGCAGCAGCACTTGGACACATATAGTAGATTTCCTACAAAGGCTGTATCGTTTTTGTTGTTGAATGCCATCTATGGTCTAGTTTCTCTAAGAAGAGTCATTTATTCATTTGACAAGGATTTCTAGCAATCCTGCGATATTCTCCCAATGGGCTGGGGTTAGAGGTTTGAAGAGTGACTTGGGCACAAGCCTTTAGAGGATCTTTATGCATAGAGGAGATACATACTTATAAACAGCTACAGGGAGGAAGTGCTCATCCATCATGCTGTTCATGGAGTCACTGTTAATCCCTTCATAGAAGGTGTGATGCTCAGTATCAGGATATTAAAAAAGAAGTCTTTAAAAATCTTTCCTTGAACTGTAATCACTAGAAAAAAATAAACTTGTATATGAGTCATTCGAAAGCAGAGTGGAGTGACTTTCCAAAACATGGAAGAGATGCATTTCCAGCATGCCAGAGGAAGAAGCAATCATAACATACTGAATTTCAAGGATATTGTGGGAAGTGGCAGAACGTTAGCCAGGCCTGGAAGGATGTGCAGAGTTGGGATTGGTAGAAAAAGGTAAAGAAAATGTCTCATGTCCAGCAACATTTTCCAAACTTTGCACAAATCAAACTATTTTAAACAACACATGGGCTGAGTATTCCATAAAATTAAAATGACAGTTTAGGAAAGTTATTATATTTTTTGACTTTCAATTCTTCAAGGATAAATTTTGTTGTTAATATGACTTAAAAATTCTTCTAACACTTGTTTAAGCTTTCTTTATAACAACAGAGTAAGCAACAGATTTTAGCAGACAAAAGTATTTAGTTTAATTACTCCTTTTAAATAAAATTTATTTTTATAGTTATTTCCTATTTACTGTAATAGACATCAGTTCTTTCATTTTTGGAACTGACAGAACTTAATCTTTAAAATATTTAGCTAAGCTAAAATGAGACTGGATTTACAAAAAAAATATTAAGTAAAAAATAGTTCGGATGGTAATTGGTAATGGAAAAATCACGAGGTACCGGAATGCCTGAAGTTTGGGAAACACTGAAGTAGGGGGAATGTCAAGCACCGAAATGAGGAAGTGAAATTGAATGGGCTGTGTTTTATATGTAGCTGTAAAGAAAACAGGGATAGTGTGTAGTCAAGGGAGATTATTGTAGGGGATTTTGGATGATGATGCTGGAATGAGGTTTTGTGGAAGCTTTAAAGGGATTTGGATTTCAGCTCCTAGATAGCTGCAGGTTTAAAAGGGTCCTGACCCAGGGACTGACGTGTTGAAAGCTGTGCTTTAGAAGGTTTATCCACCGAATAGCATACAGGTAGGCCGGAGCATAGGGAACACAAACACAAGGAGAGCACCTTGGGAATTGGTGTCAGTAATCTGAGCATGAATAAATAGGGGTGGTAGGAGTTAGAATGGAAAAGCAGCAAAGGATGAAGGAGTCATTCAATAGAAAGAAAATGGAATAATAATAATACTTACAGCCAACGTGCTCTTGAGTTTCTAAGCTTGGTGGCCTGTGAGCGTGACAGTAACATTCAGGCAAAAGACAGGGAGCTGGTTCTTGTGGGGGAAATGATGCTTTGCATCTCTGGCAACTTGAAATTGAGAAGAGAACAAGCCTTCACGCAGAAAGGGAAACTGCATCGATAATCATGTGGGGTTAGAATTATGAAGTGTCATCAGGGATGGGCAGAGAAAAAGAGGACATTAGAATGACACCTAGCTCTGCTCTGCCTCCTGCCCCACTCAAGGTTTCGGGGGAGGAAAGCCGAAGAAAGAGAATCCTCAGATACCTCGGAATGGGAAGGCGAAGAAAGGGCTTGCTGACCCTTTCCTCCTAAGGTTTTATTTCTCTCGGGGCTTTTCTCTTGATTGCTATGGCCACCACCTTGCCAGAGAGACTAGGCTTCTTTATAGGGTCCTTCTTCAGAATAAACAAAAACATCTTCATCTCCAGCTGGGAGAACAGACACCAGGTTTCAATTCCAGGAACGGTACCGGAGTTTTGTATGTTTTCTATCTCTATTGGGAAAAGCACTTAATTTAGATGTTTCCCTCATACATACAATACGTGGCAGATATTTAAAGACAGAAACCACAAAGACTTGTGTACTCACCTCCCAGTTTAAGAAATAAAACATTAAAGGGTAAAATAAATAAATAAAGCATCCTCCCTGGTCTTATTCCCTCTTTTCGACCTCAGAGGTTACCACTGTCCTGTCTTTGTAGATATCACTGTAGTCTATATTTTTATTCTTTTGTTTGCTTTAATGTTTTTATTCTTTCCGCCGCTATGTGAATATATCCACAAACAGTATATGACATTGCTTCAAATGTTTAACGATTTTATATAAACAATAAAGTATGAATTACTCACCTGCAACTTGTCTCTCAACATTATACTTTTGAGATTAATCCATGTTGATTCTTATAGCCCAACTTATTTATTTTCATAGCTGTATGGCATTTTGCTATCACAAATAGCACTATTAAGTATTGTATTACATTGCTATTTGTGTACAAATGAAAGAATTACTTTAGTGAGTATTTGTTGAACAGATTTGCTGCACCACAGGCATGTGCATCTGCAGTTTTATGAGATATTGAGAAATCACTTTCCAAAACATTTATACCACATTGTATTCCAAACCAAAATGAGAGTTCCTGTTTCTCCCCATTCTCAACACACTTGTTTATCTCAAATATTCTAATCAAATAATCTTTCCAGATATATCTTAAAGCCAGATGCTTGTGGTATCTGGGGGACTCAAACATGTTTGGAACACTCAAATTGATGAAATATACTGCAACATTGATTTTAAATCAACTTCTCTGTTTCTCAACCTAAGGTGCTGGAGATTAACTTTTTCATTTAATAGACGTTGACTTTAGTACTAATCATATTAATAACAATAATGATAATAATATTGATAATAACTGTTAACACCAATAACTGTTAACACTATGTGCCACATATTGTCCTAAGCACTTTAATTGCGTTATCTTATTTAATTAATTTTGAGGGGAAGATAACGCTATTATAGCTCTTTTAGAGATGCAGACACTGATTCACTGAAATGATGATGTCAATGGTAAGTAGAGATTCTGGATTGTGTATCTAGTCAGTCTAGTCCAGCTAGGACAGGGGGGAACGGAGAGATGGGCACAAACTGGGAAGAGAGACAGCGAAGTATTATATTCCTTCA